GAAAAGGAAAAAAATAAGAAGAGGAGATAGAGGAAGAGAGGGCAGGAGACAGGGAGAGAGAACAGAGAATATGAACAACAACACATTTGAAACAGCAAAGCTATTAGAAAACAGAAGCCAAGAAGATATAATGCTAATGGGAAAAATACACCCCAGGCAGAGACCTGATAAGCAGAATACAGAAGGAACTCAAAAAAAATTAGACCATCCCCAAAATAAGGACCCAGTCAAAACAATGGGCAACTGAAATGGAAAGCCACTTCTCAGAAGCAGCACAGATGGCCAATAAGTGCGTGACAAATGCTCAGTGTCACTGGCTAGTAGAGACATGCAAATGCAAACAGCATTGAGATTTCATCTCACTCTTCAAAGAATGGCTACCATCAAGAATAAAATCATAAGTAGGCTGCTGGGGGAAAAAGAACCTTTCCACATTGTTGGTGAGAATATGAAATAGCACAACTAGTATGGAAACCAGTATGAAGATTCCTCAAAAAATTAAAACTAGAAATTCCACTTGACGCAGCTCTCTCTCCCAGGCATCTTCCCAGAATACCTAAGACATTATATTATAGATACAGGCGTGTTCATGTGTATAGCAGCATAGGTCATGATCACTACATCTTGGAATCAGCTTATATATATAGCATGCCCTTAAACAGACCAACAGATAACAAAAATATGGTAGAGATACCTTAATACAATGCTATTTGGCTATAGAGAAGAATAAGTGAGTCATTTGTAGGAGAACAGACACAACTTGAGACCACAACATGAACTGAAATAAATCAGACGCACAAGCCTAAATACTCATATGGCTTCTCTCACATGAGGCATGTAAGGTATAAATGAAGAGCAAAATAAAAGATGAGGAGATAGATCTTCTGCAAATGGGGAGGGGAGGGGAGCAAGAGGCCGAGGGTGGGGGGTGTAAAAAAGGATGCATGGCGCTCCTGTGCCAACTACCTACAATGAATGTGGTCGTGAACTGAGGACCGTGCAAATGGGGGGGACGAGGATCCAGAGCTTGGGGAGGTCAAGAGGAAGGGGAGGGAGGGGCAGACACACAGCCACGGTATGCTTAGTGTACGGAGCTGCTCCTTCAGATGAACGTGAACATGATGGACTGCAAACAAGTCCTCATAACATGTAAGACTTAACAAGAGATTGAGATTGACATAGACAGAAAAGATCACATTTTGAGATTTTCACATAAAAAAATTACAAAAGCGATTTCACTTTTTTTTGCTGATTGCATCCTGAAATGATAATATTTCAGGTATATTGGCTTAAATAAAATATCTGATTAAAAATTTAACAGATATACAAACTACTGCGAACATTTTTGTTTAAGTAGAGTAACTCTGAAACATTAGCTTGGACAATTGGCAAGAGAAATAAATAAAAGGAGTATGTATAGCAAAGGAATGAGTCAAACTGTCCTTATTTGCAGAAGATGTGGCCTTTTATGTAAGAGGAGGAAAAGCTTCCGCCAAAGGCCTTCTCCTATTAATAACCAATGTCAGTGATGTAGCAAGATATAAAATCAACACACAAAAAATCAATAGCATCCCTGTATCTCAATAATGAATTTGCCAAGAAAAAATTAAAATAATACTATTCACTCAATCTTAGCCAAGAGTCTGAGAAGTGATAATAATACCATTCAGAATATTATCAAGAAAAATAAAATACTTAGGATTACTGGCATCAGGAAAGTGAAACTCCAGTGCAGCCAAAATTAAAGACCTCTGAAAAAAATGATTCAAAAGGACATTTTCCTGAATAGGCAAAGCCAGTATTGCAAAAGTTCTAAAGCTGTTTATACATTTAATATAATCCCAATCAAAGAACCAACAGGCAGAATTCCTCCAAGAACCAGGGAAAACAATCTTTAAAAAAGCTATAGACCTTAAAGAAATCTAAAATAGAAAAAGTAATCCTGGCAACAAGAACAAAGCAGGAGGCACCACAATCCCAGATTTCTAGTTACATTTCAAGGCTACAGTGATAAAAACAACACAGTAAGGACACAAAAACAGACACATGGGTCAGTGGCACAGAATGCAGGAAGCAGAAACCACTGAATCTAGGGCTGACCAGATAGCTCAGTGGATTAAAGTGCCTGCAAGGAGGTGTAGGGGCTGGGGGTTTGAGCCCTGGCATGCCGTGCCATGCCAGCCCTGCCCCCAGCCTTCGCTGAGATGGTGATTGAGAGTGGGCATGGTGGTGCGCACCTGTAATCCCAGCACTTGGGAGGCTGTAAACAGGTGGATCACTATGAATCTGATCTACATAGTGAGACTCTGTAGACCCTGTATTAAATACATAAGAAAAGAAAAAGAAAAAGAAACCATTTCAAGAAACAACTGAATACACAATTAATTATCTGATCTTTGACAACGGGACCAAGAACATATACTGGAGGGAAGATAACCTACTTAAGAAATGGTTTTGGGAAAATTGGTTATCCACATGCAGAAGATAAGCCATATCCATACCTCCCAAATATGCTGTACTAAAATAAATGGATCAAAGATGGTTTCAAAACAGAAACACTTAACCTACTGGAAGACAAAATAGGTAAAAACACTGAAGTCACAGGCAAAGGCCAGGACTTTCTGAATAGAACTCAGCTGTACAAAACTAACACCAAGAATCAATGAATAGGATCACATCAAATTAAATAACTTTGAAAAAAAAAACAAAAAAAAAACAAAAAACAAAAAAAAATTAAATAGCTTTGGCACAGCAAGGGAGACAACCAACAGAGTGGAGACAACCCACTGAATGGGAAAAATATTTTCCAACTACAGCTCTGACAGAAGATTAATATCTAGAATATACAAAGAACATAAAAATGTCAAACCCTTCCAAACAAAAGGCCCAATTATAATTGGGAAACTTAAATGAGTAGATATTTCTTGCAGATAGAAGTACAAACGGACAATAAATACATGAAAAAAGGTTCAACATTGCTGAACATTAGAGAAATGCAAATTAACACTGAGATTCTGTCTTAGCCAGAAAGGAAGGCAGCCATCAAGAAATCAAATAATAACGAGGCTTCTAGGCAAAAGAACTCCTTCCACATTGTTAGTGGGAATTTATGAAACCAGCACAACCGTGATGGAAGACAATTTAGAGGTTCCTCAAGAAAATAATAGTCAAAATTCCATTCAACCGAGCTATTCCCCTGCTAAGCATCTCTGTGAAGGAGTGGAAGACACTGCGGGCGGAGGTGCCTGCGTGCCCAGGGCTGCAGCAGCACGCTCCTGAGAGTTGGATCTTGGAAGCAGCTCCCCTGCCCAGCACAGATAAGGAAAATGTGGCACGACTCTGCCGTTCAGGAGGATGACCCTGAGGCACTGGCAGGAAAAGGGGCGCGCCTGAGACCTTCCCGGCGAGGGAAGTGAAGCAGACACAGTGTAAGTACTGCATCGCTTCTCGTAGGGGAGAAGCCCAAAGTGTAAGGGAATCAAAGAGCAAAACAGAAGGCAGGGAACAGGAAACAGGAGGGAAGAGGAGCAAAAGACGGCAGAAAAAGGGACAGACAAGGGAGCACAGAGGTAACTAAGATGCGTGTCTCAGTGTAGTAAAACTAATGAGTTACAATCCTGTTGTAATACATAACTCTATTGTATGTTTTGCTTTAAAAAATAGGAAGTAACCCATTGGGGGCAAAACTACGGCGTGTGTGATGCAGCTGCCGTATGCTATCATTGAAAGCGATGAGAGTTTCGCCATCGCGGGAGCAACATGGTAATCAATAACACAGTATTCATCGGCGAACAGATTGTGGACATGTTCAATCATTTCAGTCACTGTCATTTGAATCAATGCATATTATTTAAGTACTGCATGTGCTCTTTATGTATTCTAGACGTTAGTCCCTTGTCTGAGGAGCAGCTGGGAAAATTTTTTCCCCATTCTGATGCTATGGCGAAAGGTGCTGTTTCTCCAATTTCTCTCCCAGTGACTTTGTTATTTGTGTACAGGAGTGCTTTTGATGTTTGAGTGTTGACATTGTATCCTACACTGTCGAGTGTGTTTACTAATTCTAGGAATCTTTTGGTGGAGTTTTGGGATCCTCTATATGTAGAGTATCATGTCATCAGTATGGAGATTCCTAAAAAAATTAAAATTAGAGGTTCCATTTGGCCTAGCTGTATACCTTCTAGGTATGTTCCCGAAGGAGTTAGAAGGATCATCCCACAGTGGTACATGCACACCCATGTTTACAGCAGCACAATTTATAATAGCTAAATCATGGAAACAGCCCATATGCTCATCAAAAGTAGAGAAAGTGTATTTATATATAATAGAGTACTAGTCTGCCAGGAAAAAGGATATACTTCAGTCATTAGTACGAAAATGGATGCACCTCAAGACATAATCTTAAATGAAATGAGTTGGACACACAAGTTTAAACAATACCTTGTTTCTCTTCTGTGAGAAAATGAAAGAGTAAATCAGTAGCATTAGGAGGATAGATATTGGGAGTAGGAAGAACATGTTCAAATGGGAAGGAGCACAAGAGAGGCTGGAGGGGAGAGGAAGGAAGGAGAAAAGAGTGGAAGGGAAAAAAGGAAGTTGTGTAAATGGGGAGGAGAACAGTTGAAGGGAGGGGAGGGGGATGGGAAAAGAGAATCAAGAGAGATCACATACAAATACAAATTCCCTATGATGAATGTGATCAATAGTCACGACAAATATGTACTAATAAAAAATAAAGGAAAACAAACGAATTTACAAGAAAACAAAACAAAACGACAGCAAGTGTACAGTTTTAGTTGGGGACACAGGCTTAGCGGTGCCGGAGCCACCTGGCTTCCCTCAGCAGCCCGAAGCTGGACCCGAAGCTGCGAGCGCGGAGGGGCGCCGGGTCCCTCCTCCCAGCGATGGTGGAGCCTTGGCGCCTGCGCTGCCACTTCCTGCCTCTGGAGCTGCTGGGCCTCGAGGTGCCCAGCTCTGCGGGCCACCCCGCGGCGGCCTCTTACCTTTGTCGTAGATCTCCTTCAGGACGCCCCGCTTGATCAGCTCCTCTCTGCTCTGCCTCATCGAGATCTTCCTCTCCAGGGCTGCGAGCGAGACAGACAGACAGACAGACAGACAGACAGACAGACAGACAGACAGACAGGCAGCGTGAGCAGGAGACCGAGCTCTGCTTTTTTTCAAGCGTCAGTATTGATACGCAGCGAAATAGACGGAAAAACTGCTCGTGGTACTTTGCTGACGTAATTAATGCTTTCTGATGTTTCCACGAGACGTTTTAACAAAGGATCATTATGGACACTGGGGATCCAAACCCAGGGGCTTTTATAAACAACAAATTTTATTTTATCCTTTATTAGCGTGAGTTTGCAGCAGTAGTGCTGGCGCTCCTGCGAGGGGCTGCTCGGTGCGCGTAACGCGTCTTCTTCACCCCTCTTTTCACGGCTTCCCTCCGCTCTTTCCCCCTCCCCGAAGCTCTCGGTCTTCTCTTAATCACCCACTACGGAAATAGTGTGGAGGTTCCAGAAAACGCTAAAGCTGGGCATGCCAGTACCCAGCTCTGTTCCTTCTAGGCATCGTCCCAAAGACGTAAGGCTGTCACACGGCCGCGAGGTCGCACCCCCAGGCTTAGGGCAGCGCAACTCACAACAGCTAAATCTTGGGAGCAGCTTTTACGCATATCAGCAGACAAATGAATAATGCAAACGTGGCATTAAAGCCCAATGGAGTAGGACTCCGCTGTAAAGAGAGATAAACTTGAGTCATTTGTAGGAAAACGGATGCACCGTGAGACCACAGGCTACGTGGAATAGACGCCTGAACCTAGGTACCACATAGTTTCTCTTACATGAGAAACTCAAATTATAAATCAAGAGAAGACAAAGCTCAAGCCCTTTTAATTTTTTGAGACAGGGTCTTGCTAAATTGCCCAGGCTGAGCTTGACCTTGTGACCTTCCTGTCTCAGCCTCCTGAAGAACTGGGATTACAGGAATGCCGCACTTTGTCTTCTAATTGTATTATTTTGATAAGCTTTTTTAATCACGTTAGTTTTGTTAGATCTTCCAAACAACCTTCGTATCACCTAAAAGATAGTTTTGAGGACTGTGATTTCACCTAAAATTCTCATTGGGGAGGCTTAGCAGGCTGTTATCGCGCTACCTGGAGCAATACCAGGACGTCGAGCCAGACCCAGGCCCTCTGCCCTCAGCCCCCTCGGCCTCCCAGGGGTCTGGGGTCCGAGGCTCTTGCTGTGGCACACAGGCTGTGCACAACTCTGTAAATGCACTGCCGTGGAGCTGTGCACTTACAATGCGTTAATTTTAGGTTGTGTAAGGAGCACCTCAATTAGGCTGTTGAAAAAAGAGGGGCAAAAACAGTAACCATGAAGGAAAATAGCCAGGATAACAACAACGTTGATTTAAAAATTTAAACAATAAATTTAAGCAGACCATTAAGAAATTAATAAACCGTGCATCATTGAAAGCAAAGTGGTCGACATTAAAATAAAAGGATTAGAAACACTGCACATTAAGATAGACTTTTTAAAAAAACTAGGTCCTTTTTAAAAAATTCTAATAACAAATCAGCAGATCCAAAACAGAAAAAGCAAGAATCGATTCTCCCGACATGAACATTCAGCTCATGCAGCAGCCAGTGCAATGCCCTGACCTTTGGGGACATAAAACCCGATTTCTAGCCTGCAGTAAGTACATCATCCCAAGCTTTACGATGGCGCAGTGGCAAACGAAGTATCAAACACAACACCGAAAGCAGCAAACACACAGCCTGAGATCTCGAAGCCAACCTGTGAGACAGCCCAAAGGGAAGGGAAAGGTGGATACTGATGTGCTTTTCTAGACCAATGACTCAGTGGAGTGGATCCAAACACATCAGAAGCTTCCTGTGTCCCTCTTGCCTGAAAACTGAGTGGGAGGATGATTTCTCAGTTACTGCACCAAAAGTGGCCCCAAATGGCTCAACATAACTAAGTTCAAAGGTCAGGATGTCCAAGGAAGGCTCTCAGCCCACCACGGACCCTAACACAAGAACTAGGCAGGAAACCTCAAAAGGTTTGCATCTCTTGCCTCTGTGCCTTAAGCAGAAGATTTTTATTCTGCAGCTTTGCTGTGTGGACATCTGGGGCTTCACCTGAACCTGGGTGGGCCACTTTCCCCGGGCCAGGCCAGTTCCTGGAGCCAGGAGGGACTTGCCTGGAGCCTGCCTCTCCCATGCAGGGCAGCCGATCCAGGGCCCACAGTCCCAGCCACCTCTCTGTCCAGTTCTGATACTCAGGTCACCGTGTGCTTGTTCTCATTGTCCCAAAGCCAAGCACCAAACCAGAGAGCCCAGGCCTCACAGCCCACTGACGGCATCCACGCTACCAGTCCCGAAGACTTAATCTCACCCATCCTTTCCATGGAACCCTCAATAAAGGCTCTTGCCTATATTTTCTGCTGCTCCCTCTGCTTCCTGGCCCCTGGTACTTCTCTGGGTGGCCCTGGTGGTGTGGCAGGTGTCCTCCTCTGGGTATCTGAGATATCAGACTGTCTTTTCAACAGCATGTCTCCTAGTCTGCTGGCCTAGCAGAGCAGTAAGAATGGCTACCTTGCCAGGTAAGCTGCAAGGTTAATTTGAGCATCTTGAGAGCTGCCTAGGGGGTTAGGGGCACATTTCTGTGTGTTTGGGTGAGATGGCGAGGTGTGACCTTGCGGACGACCTCTAGTGCTAGCACTGTTTCCTGCCTCCCAGGGCCTCTCACCAGCGTATTTCTGCCATGGGTCCAGCCAACCATGGATCGAATCCTCTGCAACTGTGAACCCAAATCAACCTCTTCCTTTAAGTTGCAAGTGCATTTTTTTTTCTCTGTGAAGGGAAAGCTTCAAAATACATCTGTATTTTAAAACGCACTATCCTTGCACTGGTTAGTAAGGAACGAAAGATGGGGGTAGGGGGTGGGAGGGACATTCAGCTGCTTACTGTTTCCCTTTATTGATCTGAAATCTGTTTACATATGAACAAATGGCTTCCAAATGAAGGGCCCAGTGAAAGCCCGAGGGATAACTGTCATGACAGGGTGACAAAGTTCTAATCTCATCATTCTTGCAAAATCTTCTTCTGAGCCACCACTGTAGCCTACGACATATATCCACCTTCTCACCATCTCACCTTAATTTAACTTTCTTTTCTGCCTACTCTCATGAGCTTGTGATAGGCAAAGTATGTCTGAGTGTCTGTGATACCAATAAATTTAAAATAAGCATCTCAGTCTGTGGTGTAGCTCAGTGGGCCAGTGTTTGCTTAGCACGCATGGGGCTCTGCTTCTGAACCCCAGCACGACTCATAAAACAAATAAAAATAAATAAGTGAAATAAAATAAGCATATGGACAGGCTCATTCTCTTTAGTGAATGCCTGGATTAGATGCACTTGATAAAACAACTGAAACTTTTTAAATTCTTTTCACATACATATACTTCAATTCTTTTATCTATGAAAATATTTCACAGTAAGAAAATTCACGAAGTCTAGAGAAAAATCAAGCCCCTTTTTCTCATTTTCCTTCTACAAACTCAACTCACTGAATCCCACCAGTGATATTGCAAGTGCTTATTCTACTGAGCTATCTCCTCAGATATTTTCATTTTCTTCCCCTCTACCCTTTGTCTTTAATATTCACTTTTCCCTCATACTGTATATAAAACTTTTAAAAAAATAAATGAAATCACTATGCCATATTGTCCTAAAAATCTTTTACTTTTTCGAACTTACCTAACTTACTTTAGGGATCTTCCCCTATGTACATAGAGGACCACTTCCTTCTTGTTGAACACTATGCCACTGTGTAGGACACTGTACCATAATTTATTTAATCAGCTATCAAAAGAAGGCAATTGACGTTTCTTCCAGACTTTTAGCATAGATGCCACTTCTGTGAACTCACTTGTTCGGGTACCAATGTAAACATGTATTAGATTTTTTTCCAGGCTATGTATCTAGATGTATGATTTCTGAGCCAGTTGTTTATTTTTTTAATTTTATATGCTCCTAGTACTGATGGGGAGAAAAGAAAAACTCTTATGTTGCAGAACTTTTAAGTACTGTTTTTGTATTTTCCAAAAGATAAGAAAGTGGGAAAGAAGCAATCCTGAGGCTAGCACAAGTCACGTGGTCCTGCTAAGCATCACGGAGCAGAGACTTGTTTAGATTTTTATCAAGGATTATCTATTTCTATTGAATTTCTTGCTCAACTGCCTTGAAATTACATTCTGAAGGGAATGTAAGTTTGAAAGAGAAAAGTTACTGAGCAATAAAATAAAATGTGCGGTACTTACTTCAGTCTTACACTTTCAACTTCAAATAATCAACTTGTAAGTAAAATCTGTATTTTTAAAATTTTTGCAACCCTAGGGCAAAGGAACTTTAAACTAGAAATCTACAAATGGAATGAGTTTCCAGAACCCAGAACATGCCTCCACTTCCCAGCCGACCTCATGAAAGCGGGGACTCTGATGTGGTGCAAGAGCCAGAGCCTAGGAAGACCCCAAGCAGCACACTCAGCGCATGCGTTAGCACAACACAACTGCGAATGCCCAGAAAAACCCAAAGGAGACCCCACCGATGTGTATGCTGTCTTTACAGAAAATACTTTCATTGTTTTAAAGATGAAAAGACTCTCACTATTAAATTACAGATACAATACATGAAAGGAGAGATGGGAGTGAAGATTTGGAAAAATGGGAACTGCACGTGGTCTTCTATTTTGCATGACTACACAGGTCAAGTCAGTTGACCTTTTATTTCATAAGGAAATTAAGGTGCAAAGCAACAAAGTTGTCAATCTAAATACTAAGTTGAGAAAGAAGACAGTGAAAGCAATGTAATTTTAAAAAGTGTCTAGTTTTCTCATGGTATGAAAAATATATCCAAGGTAAAGCCATATTAATCCAATTTATATGAGCACCACATACTGTATCTTTCACTAACTCAGATGTTGAAGAGTTCTAGGAAGACCTAAGCACTTGCCAATAGCTTAGTTATTGCTATGTATAAACGGTTTCAGTTACCTGATAACGCAAAGAGAGATTTC